GATGCAGCTGCCTTTTATTGATCGGGTTTTGGGTGGCTTCTCCACATCCAGCCCCGCAGGAGAGCGATGGTACCGACAGCCAGGGATAAGGGTCCTTCCAGACCTCCGGCACGCTGCGGACGGGGATAAGGCAGCGCGTTCCCGGCAGGCAAACTTCTGCTAGGGAACACAGGCACTCCCGAGCCCCTGCTTTGCATGCAAGTGAGATTTTCAAGGTGAACCGCTGCTTTTCCTTTAGATTTGGGTTCGCCCCTTCCCACAAAACCCCCCGTGCCTTCACGAGCAAACCTGCCCCCAGCAGCCACACCTCCGGGCGGAGCAGGGAGCGCCCGCATCCGAGAGAAAAAGGAATATTCTCGCTCCTATTTATTTACTTTGTCATGTTTACGATGCTGCTGTTGATGAGCTGGCGGCAGCTCGGCGGCCGCGGCCGCTAAGGCGGGGCGGGCCCGGGGCCGGCGCTGCCCGGTGCCCGCAGCGCCCGGGGCGCGGTGCCCGCGGCGGCGGTGGCGGAGCAGCCCCGCGGTTGCCGGGCGTTGCCCCTTTAAGAAGCCCGGGTGCTGTCTCAGGTAGGCAGAGCCTGTGCGCTGTAGTCGCTCCTATGGCAACCCAATAGAATGGGATCGCTTCATGAATATTCCCAGGAGCAGGGGCTGCATGAGGAATAAGTGATGACAGTGATGTAAGCAAGCGGTGGCCGCTGCAGGTTGCAGTTCATTGTGTTATTGGCCGGCAGGTTGAGGAGTTTGAGGCTCGAGCTTCGCTTTCCGGATGATGTCTGCCCGCCGGGAGCCACGGCACATTTGCATCTCGAAGCCAACATGGCAAGGCGGCTGCTGCCGCCGCTGCCGCCCTCCCTCGCCTTCCAGCCAGAAGTGTGTGGCTCTCCTCTAGACTACTTGCCCAGTGCTCAGCATCTGAGCAGACAGGGATTGCAGTAACACTCACCAAGGGGAAACAAGCAGCAAGTAGCCAAATCGGGACAACGGAGGAGAAGGGGGAGCTTTTTGCCTTCCCTCTTTTTTTTTTTCTTTTTTTTTTTTTCGTTTTTTTTTCCTCTCATTCCCTTCCCTTCTGGATGCAGAGCCTGTGTTTTGATGCAGAGCCTGTGGATGCCACAGCCCGGTAAGGAGATGACACGCCAGTCCCTGGTCCCCCGTGCCCCGTGAGCCGGGGNGAGGGGCAACGATCAACAGGCATCTGCTTGAAGCTCTTCTACTTGAGATGTGCTGACCAAGGTTGGCTTTGCAGTTTGGCTGTTTTCACAAGTCCAGGGATATTGAGTCATAATGGAAATACCTTGAGGTTGTCCTCCCAAATCCTGACTTCTTGCTGCCTGCCTGGAGAAGTGAACTTTTCAGTCATGCCCTGTATCCATCATTGTGTCAGTTCCCTCCTACTAATATTTCAAGCTGTTTGATCATTTAAAACTAATTTGACAGAGGGATTTTGCCTCAAAGTGAGTATCTTCCTACATAGTTCTGGAAGTAGGTGGCTGGAGTAAAGAGAATTCCTCCTGAGTCATGGCATTATAGAATTAGAGAGTGATTGAAGTTGGAAGGGATCTCTGAGGATCTTCTGCACCAGCATCAGGAACTGAGCAGACACTGGAGGATCCATGTGCTGTGAATTATGGGCAGAAGTTTGGTGGTGAATCCTGCACATTGGACATGGGAGACTTCACTCCCAAACAATTTCTTTTATGGCCATTTTGCTTGCAGAGCATCTTGTTTCTAATTAGTCTCTTATTTCAAATTTTCCCATCTTCTGCCTGTGTTCAGCCAATGGAGGGAGGGAGGCAATGCTAAGGTACATCCCTGAGGATTATGAATTCCTAAAACACAGCTGTACAAATGCCTGACAGGCTGTAAAACTTTGGGTTGGAAATGTGCTGTTGAGTTTGATTAACCTCTTCTGAGAAACAGAGAGGTTTAAAGTGAGCCCAGACTGAATGCAGCTCACCAAGAACAGGGTCTGGACTTGACAAAGCTGCAGCTGCCATGGCTGTGGCACATTTGCCATCCAATCCAGCCCTGCCTGGCCATGCAGTGCCTGTGACAGGACATCCAGCAGCAGGACAGGCTCCAGAGAGAGACCCATCCTTGTCTGGAGGCTGCAGCTCATTAAACACTGCTGGAAGGCTCTGTTTTGAGAAGGACTCTGATAAGCACTGAGCTGATCCAGTTGGAGCAAACCTCTCCTGAATAACTCCAGATCAGGGGAGAAAAACAAGCTAGTGCTCAGTTTTAAAATGGAAATTTGATGGAATGTATATCTGGAAGGCAAACTTTGTTGAAATCCAAGATATGTGCTCAATATAAGCACTCTGAATATTGGAGAATTCATTGGTGGAGTTTAGACAGAAACTTTGTAAGCTAATTGTGACTAAATCATGCAGCTGCTCTCATCTCAGCAGCTCCTCTGAGCTCTGTCATTTCTCTTCCTTACAGCTCCATCCATGGTTACCTGTCTCTGTTTTCCTATTTCTTCCTATTTTGGAAGGTTCCTATTCTCCAAGGGGAGTATTAAAGGTCAGGTGGCAAGATGCTCATGCTAATCACTCTGTTCTAGCTGGGATTTTCAGCTGCTTGCTCCAGTGAGGATTACCATCTTCTGCAGAAAATCCTGGAAATTTCAGGGGGTTATTTGCTGCAGAGTCTGGGAATTCTTTCCATAGCCACCAACGTGGCTGAATTTTTGGGTAATGTCCTTTTTGCAGTCTGGTTGCAAAGCTGTTTGCTGGTTGTCAGCACATTCCCAGCAACCCCCTCACGCCCGTGACAAGTGCTCACATTTTGATCTTGGTTACAAGGGTGAAGAGAGCAGGCTGAGGCTGCTGTGGATTTATTTTCCCCTGGGAGCTGCAGCTAATATTGCTTTCCAAGCACTTCCTGGGAGCAGCTTTTCCATCCTGCTGTGGATCAGCTCCCATGGCAGGCTGCTTGCTGGGGATCTGCTCAGTGTCTCTGTGCTCCCACTGATGGACTTGGAGCAGTTCTGCCTCAAAACCCACTGCAGCCCTTCCCTCCCTCCTGACAGCAGCTCTGGGGCTCTCCCTGCCTGTCCCCCTGCCCAGATCCCACACCCAGGCATGGATCTGCCTTCCCATTGCTCCTTGGCAGTGGAGCCTTTACCAGGCTACCCTACAGGATATCCTTTATCCTTAACCAAAGGACATGGCTCCTTTATCCAGCCTGGTGCCCTCTGGGCCTTCAGTCAGCCTGGGCTCTGTGTTGCAGTGCCCACTCTGCAGCTCCTCTAAGGAACAGAGAGCAGGAGCAAAGCCCAGGCTGAATTTCAATGAGTGCAGTGTGACAGCACACCTGGGTAATGAATAGTGCCCAGGGTGAGCCAGGATTTGTGTATTTATCACGATTATTTCTTCATTATCTCTGAGCTATCAGGGAGCTGCAGAGTGCAGCCTCTCCCACCAAAACTCCAAGGCAGAATTTCCCTGCTTTGTAGCGTTGAATATTTCATGAGTTCCAAATGCCAATTATGAGTTACCTGCTGCCTGCTAGGAACAATAGGCAGCTTTGAAAGGACTTGCTCCATTCTCCCAAGCCCTGCCACATGTTTAGTGACTCCTTTTTTACCTGAGAATCCAGAGGCTCAAGGGTGATGATGGGAACTCTCAGCCAAGCCAAGGTGGGCCTAAAAGACCAGCTTGCACTGCTGTTTCTGTACCCTGAGCCACAGGACATCAGTTCTTATGGCTCTCAGATATCAGTTCTTATGGCTCAGTCCTGAGCTCATTTGGAATGGGATTTTTCACATTTGCAGTGTAGCACTGGATTTCTATCAAAATACCATATATATGTATATATGTATATATAAATATATATAAATATATATAAATATGAGCTGGCAAAATTCCTTAAGATACAAATGAATCATTGGCTGCTTCACCTGCATTCTCCCCACTCAATCCATTCCCTTTGTATCTATGCCAAGTTCCTTGGAACAGTATTGACAAATATTGTTAAAAAAGAGATAATTTCCCTCAAAACTAGTTCTGCTTTTTCATGACAGGTAACTTCTCCATCCCCCCTTTAAATGTACTGTGCAGCCACTGATACTGAAGACAGTGAAATATTCTAGGAATCTGCTTCTAAAGGTGCATTTGCTGCCCTGGAAAGCACTGCCACAATGCTGGCAATAAATTCCATCTCTGATAGTGGTTTCATACCATTAGACAAGGATAATTCCCATCCTCTACACTTAGTTCTTGGAAGGCTCTCAAGTAAAATACCATTACTTTGAAGTTCTCTCAACACAAAATTGTCATTACATTTTAAAGAGTCGAGAAATTCCTCTGAATTTGGCTACCTGGCACTGCTGGAGCCAAGTCTTTAGAAGTTTTTAGGAACCCACACTTGGAGACAGAGGTGCACAAGGAGGCACCTTCTGGATTTAGCACTTTGGATGATTCCATGAACTCACAGAGCTTCCTTAGATTTGTCTTTATTACAGAGATGTGTAAAGGTAGCTGTGGTCTGTAGGTGAGGAATTGCAGCTGTGATGTCCAGACTGGCCAGTGGGGCTGGGCAGTGCCAGGCTCCCGGGCACAGGGATCTCTCCATCCCTCTGGAGTGGTGCAGTGTGTGCCCACAGCCCAGCTCAGCCTCTGCTCCCCATCACTTCTGTCCTGCACAGGGCATGGAGCAGAGTTCTGCTGCTGGCTGCCCTGTGCTGTTCTCCTCCTGCCTCAGGGCTGGGACAGAACCCGGCCCCCTCACCAAACCAGGCACAGCCTGATCCCTGTCACCAAATCTGCAGAAGCTGAGTATCACCAAACCAGGCAGAAGCGGATCCTGTCACCAAACCAGGCACAGTCTGATCCTGTCACCAAACCACGCACAGCCTGATCCCCCTCACCAAACCAGGCACAGCCTGATCCCCCTCACCAAACCAGGCACAGCCTGATCCCTGTCACCAAAGCAGGCACAGCCTGATCCTGTCACCAAACCAGGCACAGCCTGACCCTGTCCCCAAACCAGGCACAGCCTGACCCTGTCACCAAACCAGGCTGATCCCTGTCACCAAACCAGGCACAGCCTGATCCTGTCACCAAACCAGGCACAGCCTGATCCCTGTCACCAAAGCAGGCACAGCCTGACCCTGTCACCAAACCAGGCACAGCCTGACCCTGTCACCAAACAGGCACAGCCTGACCCTGTCACCAAACCAGGCACTGCCTGCTCCCCCTCACCAAACCAGGCTGATCCCCCTCACCAAAGCAGGCACAGCCTGATCCTGTCACCAAACCAGGCACAGCCTGATCCTGTCACCAAACCAGGCTGNACCAGGCACAGCCTGACCCTGTCACCAAAGCAGGCACAGCCTGATCCTGTCACCAAACCAGGCACAACCTGACCCTGTCACCAAATCAGGCACAGCCTGACCCTGTCACCAAACCAGGCACAGCCTGATCCCTGTCACCAAACCAGGCACAGCCTGATCCTGTCACCAAAGCAGGCACAGCCTGATCCTGTCACCAAACCAGGCACAGCCTGACCCCGTCACCAAAGCAGGCACAGCCTGATCCTGTCACCAAACCAGGCACAGCCTGACCCCGTCACCAAACCAGGCTGATCCCTGTCATCAAAGCAGGCACAGCCTGACCCTGTCACCAAACCAGGCACAGCCTGACCCTGTCACCAAACAGGCACAGCCTGACCCTGTCACCAAACCAGGCTGATCCCTGTCATCAAAGCAGGCACAGCCTGATCCCATCACCAAACCAGGCACAGCCTGATCCCGTCACCAAACAGGCACAGCCTGATCCTGTCACCAAACCAGGCTGATCCCTGTCACCAAACCAGGCACAGCCTGACCCTGTCACCAAAGCAGGCACAGCCTGATCCTGTCACCAAACCAGGCTGATCCCCCTCACCAAACCAGGCACAGCCTGACCCTGTCACCAAAGCAGGCACAGCCTGATCCTGTCACCAAAGCAGGCACAGCCATGGCAGCCAGGCCAGGGGACAGTGGCATTTTCAGATGCCAGGCAGAGCACCTCTAGCAGAGAGAGGACAAACAGCTTGGTTCCTTGGGCACGTCCTTTCCTGCTCTGTCATTCCCTGCAACACGAGGGACTACGCTTAAGAAGCTGCATCAGTTTCAGATGTTGGTGCACCTCATTAATCAAAACACATCCTTTTGGAAGGCAGTTGATTGCAGCTGAGGCACAGAAGTGCTTACACCTCAGCATCCCTAGTGCCTGCAGGAGGGAAGAAAAACAGGGAAAAGACCTTTAGTGCTCTCCCTGGCTTAGTTCACATTATCTAATCTACAGGAGCATTGGAAAAAGAAAATTTATTTCCTCATAAAAGCTCATTCTATTAGAAATTGTGATGAAAATAATAATATTAAATGATATTTGCACTGTGGAGTATTTGGAATGAGTCACAGGCAGTCTGGCTGTGCCAGGAGGTGGGAGTAGAAGAGGAGCAGGTAGCACACATGGGAGAGAGGATTCGGGAGAGGCAAACAAAGATGAGGAAGCATGTGCTGTGTGTGTGCTTGGTGGAGTCACTGCTGACAGCATTTCCTTACTCTGGAGCTGCAGGAGCATCAGTCTGTGAGGGATAATTCACCACAGTCACCTCTGGCCAGTGACTCCTACCAGGGAAAAGGGGAATTTTTGCTCCCAAAGCAGAAGCACAGAGGTGAGGTGGGGATTTCCTGCCTGCCTGCCGTGGGCATTCCTTGCTGTGCTCAGCCTCCCTGCCTGCGCAGTTCACGTGGTTTCCTTCTCCTAGCAGGTAGGATTTGCAATGTCTGAAACAACAAACGTTCTAGAAAGCCTCAGATGCTGAGTCTCTGCAAATGTATACACCAAAATCTCTCATATGGTCAAACAGATTCTTAATTTCACTCCAGTGGTTTCACAGGCTCAGCACTAGGAACTATTTGAACCACTTTATCAATCTAGAAGCTTTTTAAACAGAATAAGCAGCCGTTCCCAAAGAAGCACAGGCAAGGCTGATTGCCACCTCTTTTCCTCCTTTTCCCCAGAAAAACCCTTTCCAATATCAAAAGGTAGGGAAATGCCTAATTGCAGCCGTTTCCCCGCTGCTTTGGCTCAGTTGCAGGAGGTGCCCTGTGGGCAGCAGTGAGGGGAGCAGCGTTCCCAGGCAGGGCCGTGTCCCCGGGCAGCCTGGGCGGGCAGTGCTGACTCA